GTATGTATGCATGCATGCATATATGTCATGTATGTATGTTTATATGATTCATATGTATGTACGTATGTACGTATGTATGTATGTATGTATGTATGTATGTATGTATGTATGTATAACGATATGTATGTATGTACACACCTGGTGCAAGCATTACACAGTATGAACTGAGTTGGACGCGTCTTGCCGTCGATACAGTGCTCGTGGTGTTGATAATTGTTGATATGAGAAGTTGACACATTTTGATAAAGGGCTTCAACTATGCACTCAGACCATACATTGCAGACCGCATAGTACTAACACATTATTGTGTCACATGTGGCACATTCGCGTAGATGGAATCCAGCATCTGCACATACAAAAGTCTCACGTCGAAGCACTCCAGACCCGAGTGGCAAAGCCGAACGTGGGAGCAAATCCATAGTAGAATGTACAATAGCATGTACAATACTGCACCTACTCGAAAAACTATACAACGCGACATTTAATGCATATCCGCCAAGTCACTCATCCACAACCTTGTTGCCGATCACACCTAGGCGGCCATGGGCCTCCACGATGGATGCCTGGAGTGCTCGTGCTCTTGCGGGGATCGCCCTTTGGGCATCCAGACAGCATGCCAACAGACCGAGCAGCCACATGCAAGAATGGGCAACCTGTGTCTTTAGAGGAGTCAATCAGACCTGACCCTCTGCTTTGTGGTCACCTTGCCTCTTTGTGCACCTTGACTGCGTCCATGGCCTTGTGCTGTGCATGGACCTGACACACAACGAAGCTTGGTGCTTGTGCATTTACTCTCCTCCCTCAGAGTCGAGGGCATCACACTGCTTGTTTTGATGTTTGCGACCAGGGGACCACATGGCAGGAAGCACAGATTCGAGGCCGTTGCCCGACATGCGAATGTAAACCTTCCCCTACAAACCCATGCTTCGCAATTCTTGTCCCAGCCCACGATTGCCTTCTGCACTCCGTGCTTCTGCTGCAGCAAGAGGTGCTCCTGAGACTAACTTCTACATCAATTTGACCGGTGATGAAGGGCTCGCATGTGCCGGTATTGGAATGATAGCTGCGGCTTGTGGTCGATGGTTTCAACCGCATGCATAGTTTCTTTCTGCACCTGTGGTCTCAGGCACAGAGAACTCCCAAAACAATTGCAGCGTTGTTGCATGTTTGCTTGAGGTGTGGTTGCTCTTCTCGTTTCCTGCGGTGTGAAGCTCCAGCGGGTGGGAAGGGTCTGGAAAGCAGAACTGCAAAACCCCCCAGCCCTAGCGTCTTGTTTTTTTCAGCGGTTGGCAAGGGTCTATTCAAGGCAGAACTGCGCAAAACAATGGCTGGTGTGCATGCTATTCGCTTTGTTGTTGCTTGTTCTTTGCATTTCCTCTGCGGCTGGGGTTGGCTGCAACAGGCTATGGTGGGAAAGCCAACACGACGAATAAAATCAGCCACGACCAAACCAACATCACGCAAACGGCTTGTGATGCAGTTCAACACGCGTCTCCTTGACACACTCTCCTCCAGGGCAGGGCCTGGAGCGTGAGCAGCTTTGGGATGAGGAGACACCCCCAAACCAAAAGGTTTAGGGTTTAGGAGCTTAGGAGTTTAGGGTCTAGCGCGTAGGGTTTACAAAGCTTTGGAACGGATGGAGCAAGGAGTGACAGCCTAAATGGCCGCTGGAACACCCTCGTCTTCATGACAACCCTGTATCTCTACGTGGGACCAGTTTCCATGAAGCAAGGAATATGTCCGGACCCGAAATTAACTCAAAGGAAACGAGTGGGACTCTGAGAAACAGGAAACTGGACTCTATAGAGTTTAGAGTTTAGGGTTTATGGTTTAGGGTTTAGGGTTTAGTGGTTAGGGTTTAGGGTTTAGTGGTTAGGGTTCTGCATTGGGGCACGCGCCTTGCACTGAGCAGCACAGGAAAAAGCACGAGCAGCCCCCACATGGCTTCAAGAGGGACACGGATCGACAGAAGCTGCAAGCTCGACACCACGGTTCCACTGACACCTCTGACAATGTGGTTGGCATCGACTTTCCATGACTTCTTGTTTAGAGCCAGCACTTGGACAAAGCTGCAAACAGCTGCAAAGAAGCATAGCACACTTGGTGCTTCGCCCTCATTCCATCTCGCAACTAACGCATCGAGCTCGTGAGCTGACCATGCTAAATCTAGTTTCAATCAATAGGTACCGCTGAGTATACACTTCGATTGAAAATGCTGGGTGCGCCCACCAGGCCATGGAGGGAGGTTCGAAGTAAAGTCGGGCAGCCGAAACGCCCGGAGGGCTGTGCCGGCAGGAGAACTCCAGGCTCTTGTGTCTCTACTTGTTTAGGGGGCATTGCGATGTTTAGGGTGCATATCCGGGTCCACTATTTCTTGAACCCCCAGTTTGATCTCCCCAGAGATGGAGTTCTCCCTTGAGCAGAAGCCGATTCGTTAGCACTGTGCCTTCAGGGCAAACGCAAGCGCAGGGGTTCAAACACGGGGGTGATACCTAGTCTTGGTAGGCGCTATTCCTCTGTCTCTCTTCTCCGAGGTCATTCCTGCCGGAGGCAATCTGGAAGTTGGGATTGCTGATGAGGAAGGCCCACTGATCGGGGGCCTTTGACAACCTAAATTCTCCGACCTGGAGCCAAAGCACGAACAAAGCGGCGCTCATGGTTGATGCAATGGGACTCCAACGAATGAATCCTAGGGCCCTGAAGCAAATCAAATTTTAAAGTTATCAGGTTTGGGTTTAGCAAGTACAGGGTAGGGTCCCCATCAACAAGCCCGAGGAAGGGCCTGCTCCATTACCCCGTGAAGTGGGCATCTCTACCGCAGCCAGTGACATGGGAAAGAAGCTTCGTTTTGGGGCATTATCCCCGAGCACCTGAATCTGAAGGCATCAGTCCCTTCACCTGAGCCTGCTTGCGAGAATGATTGAAAGGAGTAGTGAGCAGGGTTTGGGTTTCGAGTTTTTGTGGTTGAGAGCTCGGACTTATTCGGAGCCTCGGGCTTGCCAAAGGATCCACGATGCCTGTGTTTGTTTTTGGGCTTCAGCTGCCAGGCAACAACTTGATTCCAACTTTGGAATGCACACCCAACATCACCGCCAGGATTGCCGACCCTGAGCCCAAGGGAGCCTAAACACCTTGATTCGGCGGTGACCGCCTGAGCCGTCCTTTGAGGAATTTGGCCACCTCCCTCCGGCTTGCCTCTCAAGCCAGCGGCAGAGGAGCTTCTTGTTCCAACAAACGACTTTCTCACGGTGTGGGACATCTAGCAGAATCTAGCAAAGGCTTTCAGAGCACGAGTTGCAAAGGGACAGACTCTAGACAAAACCTGCTTTCGAAAGAGACTCCACACAGAACAGTTCGAAGGTAGCTTATTGCGCCCCCATGGATAACGTGAAATAGCCCATGTCGTGCAGGTAAAGCTCAATGCCGTGCCCTGCACATCTCCGGAGTCTGTATTGAAGAAAGTGGGCACAGTCATTGTAGCCCTGCTGCCTCCTTCTCTTGCGGGATCGACTGCAACATGGCCGCAGCCAGATTAAGCTGCGGCCTGGGAAAGCTGTGACTGCTCCAACATGCTCCAACTACATGTGAAGGTGGGCAACCAATTCTTTCGAAATTGTTGCATGCCAGGTTGACAGTGCGAGAATCTGCTAGAAACTCGCTTAGAAGGGGCTGAGGCACCAGCTTCAGCGAAATCTTGGATGCCTGCCATGCACCATGACTCAATGACACATGTTGAAACCGCCTCACCGGGACTTGCTTATTCAGAGACTCCAATACCCCTAAATTAAGGAATATACCTTAAATTATAGTAGGATCCCTAATATGACTTAAGGTATATTCCTTGATTAAGGGGTATTGGAGTCTCTGGGTATTCCATCTTCTGGCTCCAGGCCTCAAGGCTCCTCGCAGGACCCAACCCCTATATACCATGGACAAACAACGGTTGATGGACAAAATCCTGCATTACCCACTATAAGGAATATACCATAATTCCCATAGTTTAGGGTCCTTAAGGCCATGCAGGATTTTGTCCATCAACCGTATGCTTTGCAGAAGTCTTGCTTTGTAGGACGACCCAGTGTTTCCAGTTAGCTCAGAATCAGAAATTAGCGGCATTTTTTCAATGACTATCAATGGTCTCAGTGTTCGGCTTCGCAGCCCCCTGTGGGTCTTCTGCGACGAATAAACGATTTGTCTTTGAGTTTTTAAGTGTTTCCAGTGGTTTGCGGCCGGCCCGATCCAGGCCAATGCAGAGACACGTAAGACCTCAAAAGCGTAGCCGAACAGACAGACACACAGGAAAGACTGAGGGGTTCACAAAAAGCCTGGCAAGACCTGACTATAGACAGGTGAATGAACAAGGTCAGACGCAGGGAGAAGAGGACAGAATCAGGCACATGCACGTACCTATACCTACATATACCTATGCGCATACCCAGTTTCAGAACAGGGACCGCGCTACAAAGGATCCTCATGAGGAGCCCTAGGTTACCCATTGTCTCTAAACTCCTTCAAAACCTACCACAGCGCTGTGCAACCCTTACAAGACCCTTCAAAGCGCTACCGAAGCCCCAGACAACTTGTTCAAAGCCCTGGGCAGTGTAGCGCTGGCCTTGGTCAGCTGAGTGAGAAACTCCTCGGAATCTCTTCGGTTCAGAAGGAAGGTTTAGGGTCTAGGGTTTAGGGTTTAGGATTGTTGGGCTTTTGGGGTTAGTGGTCTTTCCGTGTGGGGTTTAGAAAGCAGGGTTTGCGGCTCAGGGCCTACGATCCACTATTACGGCTTGAGGCTTAGGGGTGTATTCCCAAATCCAGAGTACCTACCTTGGGGTCCTTGCAATTAGTATGGATCCCACTACTCAGAAGTTACTTGATGATACATCTCTGAAACTACGACTGGACTTTACTTTCAATGACTCTCACGACGACGCAGCTGTCACTGCAAGCCTCGAAATGCAAAACTCAAGCAGAGAGTTTGCCAGTTTCCTCTGTGACGTTGTCCCTGCACTGCTCGATGGCTTGGCAAAGCCTTTGTGCGGCTGCTGCAAGACTGATTCATGGGCGTTCTTGAACAATAAAGGCACCATGAGTGAGCTTGAAGCAGACTTGAACACAGCTGCATCCGAAGATACGGGTTTCGCCATCGCAAGTCAGGCATTGCAGGCTCCGGCGGTCCCCGGAGCTGGCAACGAATAGCTGACAACGAGCTCTTTCAAGTGCTGTGGCTTTGGCAGCATCCCGAAGCTCTCCTGCCCACAACACCCTCCACGGCTGGATTGTCATTATCTCCGGGATTTCAACGCTGCTATGCTTGGATCAAGGACGGCCACCTCCGACTCCATCTCCTTCAGCTCACTCGCGAGGAGTTGCATCTGAAACGTCCGCTGGCCTCGCTTTGAATTCGGGAGCGATCGGGGGAGTGTCGAGCACAGGACTACACACGGTCGTAACCAGACCTGTATTCCGATGGCAACTTGAGACAGTCCAGAAACGAAATCGAGACTCTGCCTCACCATTGGTTTTGGCAGATGATCAATGATTATTTGGCTCTAGCATAACGAGACGCAGCGCCCCGGTCCGCCAGATGAATGCGGTACCATATACCATCACTACAGTCATGCTACATTGCATCGCTGTTGTCTGGTCTGATACTGTCGTGCTTCTTATGCTGCCACTACCTCAGATTCCCAATATTTAGCTACGAGACATGTTACACCATCGTATCTTGCGGTGTACTGTGGTGTCAACAGCGCAGCACTATCTTAGCAGACGTAACATGCTGCCATACAGCGAGTCCCTGTCATGACAGATCGGAATGCACATTCATTCGAAAAGTAGAACATTGTACTGGCCTTTGTCTCATCAGACAACGTGAGGCTCATGAAGATTCTCTTCTCGCTCTGGCATTTTTAGTCTCTTGGCCTCTTGGCATGCTGATATGATCTTGCTAAGGTGCTCTAGTATTGCCTGCCTCGCGCCTGGCAATGGGCTTCGGGGCTCGTTGCGCCAAGTCGTTGTCAATCACAACAGCCAATACAAGTCAGCTGTCAAGCGCGAATACATCGGGATTTCATTGCTATGCCGGTTCAGCCTGTAGGTTGCCAGTTGTTTGCCGCGCACTCCTCGATCAGAACACGCAGAAAGAAAACCTGCCGGGATGCTGCCGGAGTCCGATTTGGACTGGTTTCGCATGCAATGTCTGCAGTAAGGTTGGGGATTGCTGAAGTCCCATGGTCGGTGCCGCAAGTGCTGATCCCATCAGCAACTGCACGGGGCAACTTCACATTAGGTCAGTTCATGTTTGGACACACGGAACTGCAACCCTAGATTAAGCCTGGCCTGAACCGTGGAACCCACGAGCCTGCGCATCATACCCATAAGCTGCAATCAGATTGTGCAACTCGTTCAATCCTTGCTTCTGGGTCCTGCGGCTTCCAAAAGGTGCTGGTGTTCAGGCTCCTACTCACCAAGCTTGGCAAGGTTAGTTGCTGACTCGAATAAGCGCTTGCCACCGATGACAGACACAAGCCATCTGAGGGCAAAGCTTCTTGCTCAGACCGTTCACCACATACTTTATCCTCAAGGTGAGGACCAGATGCAGAAAGTTAGCAGCGCCGGGTCACTATATTGAATACACAAACATGGAACTCAAGGCAACAAGGCCCAGACTGCCAAAACAAAGGCTGGGCGAACGAGACCATTGGTCCCGGCACCAACCCTGACCCGAAAATCGAAAATCAGGGGTGACGCGGGACGAACTTCACTGAAAAGCTTTGCGATCGCTTGAAACCGATAGCGGCTGCAGTGCAGAAAAGAAACATGAGTCCAGCCAAGGGAGGCTTGGCCCCCCCAAACGCTCAAGCTGTTCACAGGTTTGTCGTTGTCCGTTGCAGCACGATGGACGGCATGTTTTGCATTGCACTGGACTAAACGGTCGACTGACGCGTCCCAAAAATACTGCACCTAAATTCAAGTGAGAGCTGTATGCCGGGCAGTGTGTACTCGGAGCACCCGCGGCCTGTTAAAGCAGCCTGTGCTGGAGATCTGCCTCATATGCTACAGCCGTGAAAGACAGAATCACCAGGAAATGTATAATGTAACCGGCAGAGAAAAAGCCTTCTTCTTCGGCTCCAAAACATCAGGCATGCAGACCAACACAGAGTGTGTAACAATCTCACTTGTTGCGACAAGTCATGCTATCAAATAGCTTGTGAAAACTCTGTCATTATCAAAGGGGTTCCAATCAAATATGTTTCATGTTGAAATCTTCGACGGCTCACGCTCGCACACTCCTGCTGCTTTTACAGTAGTGGCATACGAAGTCAAGGGGTGATTGATTCATGAATTCGCCTGCCGCATCAGCGGCCACGCCCACTGAGCGCACACATGTGGGACATCACACACTCCACATCGCCGACTAAAGATCCTCGAAAGATGCCGCATCACCCGCATAAGGAGGGCAGGGTGGGCAAAACATAGTTCATGCCATACGGCTGTGCTCTGCAGTTGCTACAGGTTTCCCACCCCCACCTCAGCCATAGGCTGCGTGGGAAACAAAAAGTGTGCAATGATCAATTGAAAACCATGCAGGAAAATGCTTTCACACAAAAACTGTCAAAAACATTTTTAGGAAAGAATAAGGGCTTTTCTATCACGATTGAAAGTTGTCTTGTTCTGTATCCTGAAAAACCATGAGTGTGTAACACTCTCATTTGTTGAGACAAATCATGCTATGAAATAGCTTGTGAATATTCCGTCGTTTTCAAAGGGGTTCCAATCAAATATTTTTTATGTTGAAATCTTCGATCTCACGCTGGCACAACCCTTCTACTTCAGTAGCGGCATACGAAGTCAAGGGGTGATTGATTAATGAACCGCATGGGCAGGGTGGGCAAAACATAGTTCATGCCATACGGCTGTGCTCTGCAGTTGCTACAGGTTTCCCACCCCCACCTCAGCCTAAGTGTGCAATGATCAAATTGAAAAGCATGCAGGAAAATGTTTTCACACAAAAACTGTCAAAAACATTTTTGGGAAAGAATAAGGGCTTTTCTATCACGATTGAAAGTTGTCTTGTTCTATATCCTGAAAAACCATGAGTGTGTAACACTCTCACTTGTTGCGACAAATCATGCTATGAAACAGCTTGTGAATATTCCGTCGTTTTCAAAAAGGGTTCCAATCAAATATTTTTTATGTTGAAATCTTCGACGTCTCACGCTGGCACAACTCTTTTTTACAGTAGCGGCATACGAAGTCAAAGGGTGATTGATTCATGAATTCGCCTGCCGCATCAGCTGCCACGCCCACCGAGCGCACATGTGGGACATCACACACTCCACATCGCCGACTAAAGATTCTCGAAAGATGCCGCATCACCCGCATAAGGAGGGCAGGGTGGGCAAAACATCATGACATTACAGCTGTGCTATGCAATTGGCAAAGGTGCCACCACCCATCCCAGCCACAGGCTGCGTGGAAAACAAAAAGTGCGCAGTGGCACATCACTCCCTGCCCCATCGCTGAAAGACCACTGGGATTCTCGATCTCCCCTCTGGCGTAAAAACTCTTCTTGAGGGAAAATCGGAAATGTTGGAAGTTGTATTCACGCGCTTAAACCAAGAAATGATGCAATGTGCAGTCGTCCAACAGCAGGGCATCTAGAGTCCGGGTCCTCTTTTCAGCTACGTGCCTGGAAAGCTCTTTTAGGGCCAAACCAGCTTTCTTCACTGAGATTTGCTGTTCATCAAACTGCAACCTGCTGCGCAATCACTCACCGTCCTTGCAACTCGAAAAAGGATCGATAACACTCTCAATGGTGTGTCTGTGTTCTTGAAGTAATCAAGAAGAAATCTGAAATTGCGAAGATAAGCATGGTTCTTTAGAGCCATAACTGCCAAGAAAACGCCGCAATGGAGTAGAAACAACATCTCAATGATGGCGGCAGAATGAGTGCACAACTGAATCGGACTCCAAAAGCACCAATTGACCAGAAATCAGAACGCAAAATGTGTCCACGCAAGTTGGCATCCAGGCGAAAAGGGTCGTCACCGCTCTGAGCTCCAAACTTCGTTCCCACTGGCAACAAGCTGTCAAGCAAGCAAAGCACGGACACTTCTTTTTCTCACTCGCGGTCTTGAGCCAAGCGC